CTTCTAGGGGGCCATTTGCTCTGCTCTGGCTGGACATTGTTTATTTTGTTCTTCAAATAAACACCTTTAAAATGGAAAAATGTCCCTCTGTTGTAAAGTTGTAATGAGTATTGTATAGGATTATACGTTTGAGGGAAGGACAAATAAATTTGAATAATTTCGTAATTTATACATTAATTTTGTACCCATTTATACATTTCGTTTGTCGAGTCAAATACAAACAACGAATTCATGCAACAAATTTGATGGGCTAACCAAATAAGCTTGTAACAAACTAAACCAAATAACAAACTGTCCAAATATCGCTGTATATTTGTACTCCTTATAGAATAATACACCACTAAAAAATCTAAAAATTCTAACCTGACATAAACAATTCTTTAAATGTATTTTCAGAACTGCCTTCCTGACTTGTTTGATGCCTGTCAATTCTACCGCTTCTAATCTCATTTTCTAAAACTTCTGAAGAGTCATTTTCATCACTTTCGTCTTCAACACTAGAAACTTGACTTGTAGGCAAGTACTGCTGTGCTATGTCACCAGCTGTTACATTTTGACAATATACAATTGTGGATTCATTCCTAAAATACGGTATTATCAGTACAGGCATGTTAATTGTCAAAAACATATATAATTTTAGTTCTATTTGAGTGTATAGCATTGATCATAATGTTTTCACACTTATAACATAAACGCATAAACGAAAAGCACTGAGTGATTTACAAACCTTCTTGATGGAATGTGAAACACAAGTTGCTCAAAATCCCTTTGTAATCTCACTCTCAACATATCAGATCTTAAAGAGAAAAAATGGGTAATTATCCAACTAAGACAATCAAGACTCAAGAGATGTGACATTTTTACAAAAAAAATGTTTCTAAAATAATAAATTAATGCATATAATGATATATAAGCCCATACCGTATGTTTTCTAAGTGCGCACGTTCTTCAAGCTGTATATGTTTGAGAAGTAGTTGCTGCAATTTCGTCAAGCGCAGAATCTCACAATTCACTACTAACCTTTCTTTGATCACTATTTTACAGAAAGCATCATAACCTGCTTTGTGCTCAGAAAAGAAGTTTGTTTTCCTAAAACGTAACATGTAACCATAAGGGACGGACCATTAGAAAAGTGATGGGGGGGGGGTGGGGATTTTCTAAGAGGCAATATTTTTTTTTTTTGTACACCTATAGAAGAAATTTTTTTTTTTTTTCACTTGATGGCTGGAAATTTTTTTTTTTATTAAAATTTATAGGCCTATCTTCCAAGGAAGGAATTTTTTTTTTTGCACTATGCCTGGGAAGATTTTTTTTTTCCTAATTTTTTTCTGGGAATAAATTTTTTTTTTGGTTTTGCCCCACCCCCCCCATCACTTTTCTAATGGTCCGTCCCTTATTAGACTATACGAAACGGAAACAAAATCAAACATTTACTTGCATGTTATACTATAGATAACAGCAAGATAAGAAATTATTTTTATTACTGGAGATTTGTTGCGTTAAATTTTCCTGTATTTATCTAATGCATAAATGGAAAAAGTACGAAAAAAATATTAAAAATAAAAATAATATCTTCGTGAAAAAATGCGTTTTTAGCACATTTTATGACCCACGACTTTACCCACGACTTTACCCACGACACACGACTTTTAACCCACGACACACGACATATAGGGACACTCTTCACAAACATATGTGAATAACAGGAAATAGGAATTTGTTAGTGTCATTGGACATGGGGAAGTGTTTGTGCATAAATTGCGTGGGTTGACAAGCTGCCAATAATTGTCACAATTTCGACTGGCCAAATAATTTTGGTGATAACTTATCCCCATATTGGCATATGAACAGGCCCTATCAAAGTTTCTGTAATCACATTAGGAATTTTGCATAGGTAAATTCTAAATCTTGAAGGATTTGTAAGAAATGCTTGAGACACATAATAAAGACATACAGAAGTGTATCTTCTTACTAGGTTACCCACAGGGCAGTAATGCTGCCATTGACAGCAAAAGACAAACTACAGGGTGTTGAACGAGTCCTTCAGAAACATCCTATTATTGTTTAGCCTGCATGGCAGGCGGTTTCTAAAATTGGGCAAGCCTGGGAAATACCGCCTGCCATGCAGGCTAATTATTTTTATCCTTGTTAAACCATTTATTGACAGTACCCAACCACTGACTGAGTATTAAAAATCGTCTGGCATTGGACAGGGTAAATACTAAAGTAGGGGTCATTACTGTGCTGATGAATTAACAAGAGCCATTGGCAGATAGGTTTTTTAACCCATTTACTGGCAGTACCCTATGCCACTGACGAGTATTAAATCTTCTGGCGCTCGACAAGGGAAGGGCGCATTGCCAGCTAATGGGTTAAACCACCCTGGTTAAACATAAGATTTCATGATGCTCCAGGAAATGTAAACAAGCTATCAGTGTGACATCCCAGTTTATATATTTATATACTCGGAATATTGATTTCTCGGTACATACAAAATTATTTTAAAGTATAACAACCAGCGAAGACGTAAGGCACTAACTACCCTGCGCGGCTGCGCGCAGACTATATAACGACATATATATGTAATCCGTCCGGTCCGTCCGTCATTCATCCGTCCGTCCGTATCCGCGTTTTATCCTAACCCGTTTTTAAAACACAAAGTTTGCATTTAATTAAGGCAGTGCGGTTCGTCATGATTAATATTTTCAAAAGCGGCCAATTAGACCAGGGGTTAAAGGGCAATGACAATGACATGCAGGTGACATTTAACATTGCGTCTCACTAATTAAAATTTGCGTGTTTAATAAGTTTATCAAAGAAAGCAAAAATGTATACAAGACAATCTCACATGTGGAATTTTTTCACTTACGTACTGCCTTGTGATGCAGTATAAAATATAAATACAAATGACAAAGCATTTGTAAATCCTAAAACATAATTAAATCATACGGCACATTTAAGATTTTAATATCGTATTTCAGCCGCGTTTATACTGTTTGGCGCATTCGCTGCGC